TCGTGGATTGTCTTTTCAACTTGGGCAGTTCAAAGCCAAACGAAAGTCGAACTCACCTTCGACATTTGGTACAATCAGATCGCAATATTGAGATCAACTCCTTGGACATACCATTCAGAGAAAGGCTATGCTCGATTACAGATTAGTCGACTGAGTCAAAGCCCTCTTTCAAATCGAAAAAGACAGAAATAGAGGGCCTATGGAAGTCATGAATGTGATCTAAAATTTGGCGAAGAATAAACATGTGGTTGACACAGTCTTGATCGGGTCTAAAACCAGTCTGGTCTTCACGCATGCAACTTTCTTTGGCACCAGTCTATCCGGAGGGTAGAGTATATGGGACGAAGTTAAATGTTACATTCCTCAAATGAATTTGTCTATGCGTTTCGCAAGATGACCCATAACCTCTTTTATATGATATTCTCAGACTACCAGTTCACCCCATTTCGTTTTGACCTGTTCACTTTCCCATAATAAAAACATGCCCTTCGTCAATTCAAATTCCATGACTAAACCCGTATTCTGAAAAGCTTAAAGGGACAAGAAAATCTGTCCCAGAGACCTTATATCTTTTTGCTAGTAACCAGCATTTCAAAAGTATTTTTGACATGCACTGGAAGTATCCGCCCAGTTGAGCTTCGGATTGACGGTTTAATGACTATGCCGGTCAGTTGAACTAAGCCTCCAAGCCTTTCTTGCATCAACGAGGAAGACGTTGCTGAATGGGAATCAGCATAACATCAAACCTTTTAATTACAACAATTAAGCCTACTTTCTTTGGACCAGTATTCCTACTTACAGGAAAAACATTACGACTATGGCCTTCTCCGCTGTCGGACGACTTCTCACGGTCACTCTTTAGGCTCTTGACGAGTATATTGGGGATCTGGAGAAACGGTTCCGCGAGCGACCAATATGTGACAGCACAGGTCGAGGAGACCCATCAATCGTGCATAGATCGGGCTACAGAATCCACGGTTGTTCTGATCGATCTTACGGTAACTTCCTTGGTGAACGTCCAGTGTTCATTGAGTCCCACTGTAGTGGTGGAGCTGAAAGAGGTTGGAAGAATTCTGTTTCATTTGTCTTTTCGCAATCATCGCTTACATCGTCTTGTGTTTATCTATTTACATTGGCTTTCTGCGGTTGATCACCTGGTTCAAATAAAATATGGCTCACAACTAAGGAATGTCCGGAGTCGCCAGTGAGAACGGTAGTTTTGAGTCGTTCCCTGCAAGTGGTAGCTGATATTGATGTAACTGATATGAATCCATCGTTATGAAGAGGTTTATGTTGTAGTTTCTTACGGATGATGTTGGTGCTCAACGGGAACAATATGGGGTCTACGCACATTTGAATTAGGCGATCTCCATTCTCCCTCCGGTTGCATAAGACTACCTAAAGGCGAGAGAGCTCTCTAAGGCAGTAAATTCACCAAGTATCACTCCGATATTCGTTGAGCAAACACTTGGGAATAGTTGAGAAAGATTCGAGTGCAATTTATTTTCGATTGTCGGTACACAACAGTTACTCGATGCATACAACGACACGACGAAGAAGCACCGGAGCTTCGTTCTGTATCTGTTGACCCTCAAGACGCATAGTGTGACGTTCGCTATTCATTGAAATTTGGTTAAGAAGCAAGTGTTTAGTCTTGGAAGGTAGGGCAATCGCGATAGCAACAATACTGAGTGTTTTGAATGCTCATCAAAGAGGACACGAAAACATTTAACAATTGAAGTAGGATCTTGCGTGAGTGTTGATGCATTTAAATTGAAAGTTTCGGGGTTTCCGGCCAAAGCAGTTCATTGGTCGATTTAACAGAGTGTGAGGACGTTGAATACGGCTAAGTGAAACGGAGGTTTTTGTTTTATCAGTCCTATGGCTTTTGATTGGTTGGCTTTCAAGTTAAACACTGAGTGTTATTCCGAGATGGTGTAAACAAGGGGCATCTCGTTTGATTTGTGAGTTAGAGAAAGTACTAAACAGATGATAAAGAGCGGTGGTAAAATGGGTACCCGAAACATGCAGATAGGGCATAATTCACGGAAGCCCATACTAACGAAAGGGGGTTACCTTCGGCAACCCTGATCGAAGTCTTGACTCCAACGTCTGACCGGCAAGGCGGTGGTGGCAAGACAGAAGCACCGGTGTCTAAGCTTCTAGAGACCTATCACTCAATGCTTTTCGTTTACTTTCAGTGCGTTGTTCGCTGTGGCGTTGATTTTCGGTTACCGCTTTGTAATCATCGCCTACCCCGTATGCAACGGACGAGAAAGGTGGAACGTGAACGAGATTATGGCTGGGTACTACCCACCTTGGACAATTGGTGCTGTCCATTGAAGTTGGAAGACTTCTATCACAATCGAGAGGAAACTACGGGTACCTCACTCCTACGTCCATCTATCGTGAATTTTATCGGTTCAGTGCTCCTCCCAGTGCTCACCTTTTAAGTGAGCTCTTCAGGTAGGAAAGTGGATATTTAGCGGACGTCAGTAGATGCACAATCAGCTGGCCTTGTGAGACTGATCTTTATCTGTCCTCTTCCCGATGAGATACTTGTAAATATCTGAGTGGTTTTGGTTAACTTCACCACGTAAGTCAAGTCAATATTTACTCAGTTGCCCTCCCTCCGTTTGACCCCATTTCACGTTGTAGTAGATGTATCTGTTGCTTAGGCTCATCTTTTGACCACCGATCCTATAGTCCATTGCATGTTCACTCCTTAGTAAACCACTTGATCTCGACACATATGATACACCTCAGCGAGCTCATTGAAAACTGTTCATCCACCGCTGTCAGTATTCGTGACTTTATTCATATGCAACAAGACATGAGATAACCCACGTTCCAACAACTCTCAGTATCTCAGAATTACTTCTGTCGTATTTCCCAACCCTTACCCTCTGGAGGTAACGCTTGATCTGTGGACAGCATGCTATGGTTTGTTAAATGCTGAGAGCAACCAATCTGTCCCAGGTCTGCACTTGTGGCCCATGCCCCCTCTTCCGATATAATTGATTATCGTTCATTTCGCAACGGTCCTTATGTCAAATCGGGCAAAGCAGCCTGTCCGCTTCCATTTGGACTCTCGTTCGAGCTGTCTCATTTTGCGCTATTACATATATTGTTTTCTGTGTCCAACCAAGACGCATCTGTACATGCGTAACCGATAAATAACCATACACAACGACTGAAGGAGTGTGATTGATCGGTTTATCCCTTTAAATGCACATTTCCCTTCGACATTCCTTGTAGTTTGGTTTGACGGCGCCTAGCGAGTGACTTGAGTTGATAACTGGTACCATTCTGTTCCATATCGGCTGGCTTCTGAGCCTCTTAACATGAGGCATATTGTAAACATTGTCTGTTTATTTGGACCCCAGTACGCTTAGATTATCAATGGTGTTTTGGAGTTGCGTAATACCTTGTACTGCATAAAAATACTCTAAATTTCTTGGAACAATTTTACATGAGATCCCACACAGCTATAAAACCAAAGTTAGTTAATCAGTATTCCAAAGCATAACTGCGGAATTGAAGTTTCAAATTAGGTGCAGAGCCCTTTTTCAAACGGCACTGTATCACATGCAAAGAAACCTCATTCGAAAATAAAGTAATCATCTCTGCACGTTTTTCTATAGCCTATTTGTCGGTGACGTATGCATGTTTTGCACATTCCTTCAAACATGCGAAACATCCATTGGTATGCGTAGAACTCAGGTATTTCTGGAGCACATTGCGGTGCTCTGAGGCCGTCAGAACGTAGTGTTGGTATATGTATGGGGTTGGTAAACACACCACAAAAAGGAGACTCAGTCGACATCGTTTTTTGAGAGCAGATTTGTCAAAATAGCCGCAATCCAGCAGTAAATATTTGCAATTTTGCTTTCAGGTATTCAGAGAGGAATCTGTCGTCAAGGCCAGGCAGCATCAGATTTGCACAGGTGAATTCATTTCACTAGGCCCTTTAAGATCATGTAAACACGGAGCTCACAACAAACTGCCGACATCTGCAACAGTTTGAAACACAAAGAGAAAAGCTTCACATGACTTTTGACAACAGGACTCTACGTAAGCAGACTATAATACTGGAGATTCATCCTGATTAAGAAAACTAGATGACAGCAAGAATTCTGTAAGCATTGACTCCGATTTGAACTGAGAAACACGTGGCGACCATTTAAACCTCAGATATTTGATAAAGCCTACAATTAATCCAGATGATCTTCATTACGTTATACGGGTGGAGGTGATTGTATGAACCAACCATGTTCAGGGTTTCATCTTAGCCAAATTAATCAAATTAGAACCAGTGTATTGTTCATAAAATTCGGGTTTTACTGATCGGCATTTCGTTGACCCTCCACCCACCCCCCCAACCCCGCGGCTAACGTGACTGACACCTTGATGGTGGTGGATTTGCTTGCAGAGGGGTTTGCCTATAATGCGTGTCTCTATCGCATATTGATACTCTTTCCCAAAAGCCACTTGGTCAAAAACAACACCTAACGGTCTCGCCATCATTAATTTCTTTCACATTCACTTTCTTTAGTCCACGCAAAGAAAGTTAGGGATAAGAGTTCCTTGAGTTTTCCTCCCCATATTCCGTCACACGTCACGCGTTCCACCAGGACCATATCGCTTGGCCAGGGAACTAAAGTTAATACTAGCATATGTGCTACAAGAAACGAATACTGTATGACGTTTTAGCAGCTCTTTCTTCTCCGTTAGATTACTGGTAATGCATAATAGTCGAGTGCACCGTGTATACACTGACAATCACAGCGATAAATTAAGTTTTTACTTACGTCATATTATTTATTGCACATGGTTAAATGCTATTATTCTCATTAATAAGTTTGGAGCTGGAAACAAGTACACGCACAAAGTTTTCATCCCTTTCGTCCCCCGCCTATGTATGCGATCAAATCATCACAAGCATCCCGGCAAGCGCACAAACAAAAGTCGAAATACAGGAAAACGAATGCGTTCATCCAATGGATCGTGCAGTCTGCATTCGTTTGTGTGCCGTTGCGCGGGTGGTGAGTGCCCGGGGTTGGTAGAAACAAACACGTCCAACGGTAGTAGAGCACACCCACACACAGACAGAAACAGAGAGAGCGACATTATGTCACCTCAGGTAAATTTTATTACTAATCGCTCGTGATCGATTCGGGTAGTTGCGGAAAAGCCTGTGTCATCTGGTTGTTTCTGTACTGCCTTGGTGAATGTGTATTTGCGCCGTTGGAACTGGGTGCTGCCGTTTCCAAATGTAATAAAATACATTATTGGTGATTAAAAAAACACCATTTATGGTCAGTTGGAACATTTATTCAAATACATTCAAGACAGAAATCAGCCTAAGCCTATACACACACAAACCTGAATGTACACGTGTATTCTATGATAAACTAAAAAGTAAATTATGCAATTATTCTGGAATTGAACGCATGTCGCGTCACCAATCAAATTTCACGGTCAAACAAATGCACCACCAAACGATAGGTCCTAACTTTTTCCAATGTTAGGGTAATCGTATGCTGAACAGCCGTACAATGCAGACAGCCAAACAATCTGGCTGAGATAAAGTAAACCCCATTTTGTGAAAGAAATTTATCCAAAGTATTGGTTTATTCTATTTCACGTTTCACCCGGGGCAAATGTGGTAGTTCCACAACAAACCTTTGTGTGTGTGGCAGGGTTTTCACCCACTGGACTGATCTGTGATCAAGCGATGTTGATCAGCATTATATCACCCTGAATGCCTCTGTTTTTGGGCACGAACAAGGACACCTAGGTTTCCGGGTTGTGTATTACGTGCCATCTCTTCGAGTAACGCAACTTCTGCTCATTAATGTTACATGCGCAATATTTCTTTTAGTTTTGGGAAATAGGCGTCCCGAAAACCATCAGATGAGCTAATCATCATTGCATGCTTGAGCGAAATCGCGGAATCAGAGACGGAATCAATCACGGAAAAGTTGTTGAAGAAGATACGCGATGATACTGATGATAACGGTGATCTTAATGATGCTGATGATGATGATGATGACGATGATGATGATGATAATGATTTGGATGGTTATGAGGATGATGATGATGATGACCTGCCTTTTCAGCACACACATGAGAACACACTAATGGGATTAATGAAGCATAAAATCGTTAGCAACTAAGATTACGTACTATTTACCTTTGCTCAGAACAGAACTGGATGTGCTAGAGAGAAGACTTATGATGTTCACATATAATAAAGAAATAGGAAAAGTTCTATAAGTCACACAGGAAAAAGGGAGAATTTGGTGTGGTCACATGTCAAATTTCTACATGTACACAGTCAATACAACTAATAATATTGCGATTGCGATACTCTCAAATTGCCAGGCCAAGACGTTTGAATTCTCATGGGGATTATTGTACTTTGACACAGCCTGGACTTAGGAGCGCGTTTACGATATATATATATATATCTGTATATACCAGCAAAAACGGAATGTTCGTGACGTTTTTACTTCATACTCTGCACAAATCTCCCCAAAAGTAACCGAAATGAATTTCTGTTCCAATTGTGAACCACTTGAACCGGACAATTTTGATGACACTGATGAACAGGTGGCAAAGTGCTGCACAAATTTGAGTCAAGAAATAATTTGTTAGACGACCGATGTGCAAAACAGGTGCTCGTATTGTGCAGACCAGGGCAAATGGAACTGAAAAAGGTATAGACGACATCTCATTTTTGCGTATTTATCACCAAATCATTTTTTTGCAAACTGTGACACTTCAAGCTGCACAATCAACAGAATAGTTGTGAGATTGGCTCGGGTACGTTTCAGTTAACATCTTGACGTAACTTGGTGAATAAACTGAGTTTATTGGGTCCGATTACTTGAAAAGATCTACATTCTGTCAGTTTGACGAAAGAACCCATGAAAAGTAAGCTAAGCTTATCAAGGAATTGAATTTTTCAGAAAGCAAAACAAAACATTTGTTTCATGACAAGGACTTTGTGGAGGATAATTTTGCTCAATACTAATTCTATCAATGCCCCGGATAAGCATGAGAACTACAAACGGATCGGGGAGGAAACATCAAAGAATTTGGCGGTTAAGTTTCAGTTTAATCATTCTATCACAACGCCCTCAAATGAACAATTTCTGGATAGAGTGTGAATAATGTATATAATTTTTATTTTGGTCAGCATGTATACCACGACATTTTGAGAGAGAGAGGATGCCAGGTTAACTCCACTCGTGGGTTGCGAAAGCTTCTAGTTGTTACTAGCTACCGAACTGCAGAGAATCAAGCATGCGTTACGCTTCCCCGGGGATCACAATGCATCACCCAGTACTGACGAATTGGTTAGCAGTTAGCGTTTTCCATGAATTACTGTGAAGTCCGGAACTTTGGCCATTATCCGTTTTGTGGACGCTTTGCTATACTTTTAACACAAACCTTGGAATGCCCACAGTTTTTTCCAGTTCGTTTTCAACTGAGAGTATAATATAATAATAATACAAAATAATGTAATCCAAACACTCCGATTTTCGAAAAATTTTATCCCTGTTCATTCATGGTTCACTCCCATCAAAATGACTCTGCCGATCGTTAATTTATCCCTATTCCTTCTGGAATGCGTCAATTTCTTGTTTGATATGATTACAAAAATTTGTGATACCATCCTCTTACGTCGAGATTAGCAGTCACATGGTTTGTATCTGAAGCGATCAATTGCCGCGTCAATATCTCGTGAATTGCAAAATATCCGAAACCTTAGAACGTACCTAAACATCTACTGCGTGATGTTAAATTCTCGCATTTACCTATCCTTTAAGTGGGTGTCAGTTTCGAAACAAAACTGATTGGGTTTCTTCGCTGCAGAAATCATTTTCCTCTGTACTCACTTTGATCGCCAGAGTCTAATCAATGCACACGTAACTATGTCATTCCGATGACCTCTTTAGGAATTTGTAACTGTTTGTACACTCAATTTTTGGAAAGGAAATAATGATATGTGACAGAAAAGACGAAGGTATGCATGACGGTTGTTGTTTACTGTGCGGTTCTGTCAAGTTTTATCTGAACCAAAAATGTCCATGGACAATTTGAAGTGCACACGGGTAATGGTTGAACTGTGAACTAAATAAAAATTAAATTTGTTCTATTGTTTTGTATCAGCCCAAAACATGCTCACTTAGATTATTTGCACTCTACATTGAACAGAGACCGGGATGGGGAAGATTTGTAAGCACCACAGTTGAACTTACCTGAACTGATGTTCAAACGCGTTCGTTTTTTACGAAGAAATTAGGTTCTCATCCAATGTTGTCGTAAAAAGAGGACATGTTCAGAATATTACAACTGAAGTCCACGAGAGAACAATTTTTCGGTTTTGATTTGTGGTCCAGTTGGAAGATTGCACAATACACAGCCCATCATCATCGCATCCTGAAATGAATAATGAGGATATAAGTCACTTGAATAGCGCACTATCCGTCTGATGATCATTTATTCCTCGAGGTGATAACCTAGTTAAGCTTTGTTCAGATTGAAGGATGTCATTATTACGCCCAATCCTACCTACTAGACGTTCATTTTAACCTGTGTAGAACATCAAGTCAATTCCCACATTTACAAAACACGTTTCGGATTTATTGGCTAATATGTATACCTGGTTGGGTCTCATCAGCACTGCGAATACATCGACCGAACTGGCATCGAACCCGGGACTTCATGGGCAGAATGTAAGCATGCTACCCACTACGCCACTGGGCAGCTGATCAGACCTTCTTCATTTACCGTTTACACGATGTAACACAACCGATATTTGCGAGCTTGTTCCGGGCTACAGACTCTGCTTATCTCAGCATTAGCCTCTAAGGTTAGTGTCAAACTCCTAAACTCACTCGGGGTAAGCGTCCTCGACACTAGGGGACCCAACTTGGTGTAAACGGTCAGAGGCCCATAGGATCAAAGCTGATTACGCAAATGACAAAAATACCGAAACTCGTTGATCTCTCCGGATATATCAAGGCGCTTAATGTTGCTCTGTTTTATTTTGCTCATGATCGCAAAACAATGAGAGATAAGTGACCTTATAGTGGTAGTTATGACTGTCTGCTATCGATCAAAATGGTTCTTTAGAATTCAGGAAACGGATTATTCAATCGGAAATGGGTAAATATCAAAGCAGAAATAAATATGAGGGAAAGCAACAGAAAGCTGTGATTTTCATGTACAAGGTGAAACGTATCCCGCCATCCAATTAAATCCTCCATTTCTTACATGAAAAAGTTGACCAGGCCTCGGATATTTATGATGCCGGAGGCTTGTGCTGAGATGAGTACAGTGTGGTGTTTGCAACAAGCTTTCGAAAACTGCTTATGTTATAATTAGTTAATGAATATGAATCTCTTAGTTCGGTTACTCGATGACTAAGTAGATGGTATAATTAAATTCCAGTTGTGAGTTTCCCAGTTCGAGCCCCAGTTTGGTCCATGGGTTTTAGATTGCTGATACTACCCAGATCCGGCTGAATGAGTTTTACAGGCTTTGCGTACACCGCAGTATGCCTCATGCACTGGATTGAAATACTACACTACATTTATTGACGAAAGTACGCTTAGGTAAACCTATTCGTTTGTCAGCAGCATGATAAAAGCGCTGTATGTGTTTGGATCATTTCCATCATCAAGTGTTTATTGTACATTTCTTTAGTTTGGTTGAATTGTCATCTCCAGATAAAAAAGTATAAATAGAATTTACTAAGTTGAAGTGATTTAAGATCATAGATCGCGTTTTAGGTTTTTGCCTTACATGACCGTTTTCACTATCACCCCATTACCACATTCTGTTAGGTGAATTAGATAAAGTCATCTTGGTGGCGCGTTTTTCCCGCAGTCAGTCTTTGTTGTCTGTCGTTCCGATAATGGGAATTATGTTCGAAACCCGTGATTGAATTGTTAGTTGGGGTCATGATTCTACAGCTTCGATCTGTACACACTCCTCCCATTACTGATGTTCATAACAGGTTATTGTAGGTGTCGTATCCAGTGGGTTTAAACAATATGATTCCAACCGCCAGTGAAGTACTGAAATTAAAAGAGGAGTCACGTGAATCCACCTCTGGCAGATTGTTCATACAAATCAGCAAATCGGCATTTTTTTCAGCCCATCACCCCCCCCCACTCCTGGTAAACCGTGATCTCGTACAACTATCATCATAGTCCACTGGCATTGAGGAGAACAACACCCACACAGAGAAGAGTGTGCTTCGAATCAAAACGTTCCGTTTTTGGTGCAGATTTTGAACACGTGCGCCCACAATGATCTACTTCGAGGCGTGAGAATATTCCAGCACAGCCCGGTCGGCTCAAATTAAGTACATCTGACTCGCGGTTGTTTTCACCCGAACCCATTCATAAACATCCGCTTAGGAACCCCATGGAAGAGTCAATAAATCGGGCAAAACAATTCCAATCCATTTGTCTCATTTCTGAACCGCTCACCGGATACTCGTGATCATGACCCAAACTAAAGTGTGACCTGAAAGGAATGATAAATATTAGTGAATTTATGAGCTTTGATATATTCACAACGATTAGAAAGCCGCCCTCAAACACCATGCATACTTGAAATAAAACACGATTCGCTCCTATTACATGTTACATAGTTAGCGGAACACACGTGGGCGACCGAACAACTAGCTTTAACAACAGTAATTAATGTTCTAGCATACTCGGCATATTAGAGGAACATGCAACTGATCTGATTCAGTGTATTCTAGATCATCTCAAAACTATTTGATGTACCCGCCAGGTGAGGTAGGATTTGATACGTCTCAACATTTTCCGTATCCAGAATCACAGATAGGAGGGCACGATCGGTTTTATTTGTTACAGAAAAATGAGTTCCACATTTTCACTAAGTATTTTCCATCAGTGTTCGTGCAGTTTCATCAGGTCAAAGCATTTCGTGAAACAGGTCGATCATGCCGAGGCGGGTGACGTTTAGACAACGTCAATGAAGGCCTCCAATGCAGGTGTTGGTGACTCGTATCGGATTCCACGCGTCAAATGATTGACACTTGGGAACACAAAAAAGTCATTGTAGGGGGGGGGGTGACTAACCTGCTAGATGCGTTCTCTAGCCAGAAAATCGGTGAAGATATGGGATC